TCCTGACCTCAGGCAGTCTGTGTGCCTCAGCCTCCCAAAGTCCTGGGATTACTGGTGTGAGCCACCACACCCAGCTCAGTTTTTTTTCAATTGCATCAATTTCTAGTCTTTTAATCTTATTATAAATACCTTGGTAAAGTTACTATCTTTCTGTAATATGGATAATCACTGTAATCAATCTGCTTTCTGTATTGGAGTTTTTACATAACAGGTTTTCTTAAAGTAGGCATCATGCTGGTGTAGCAGCATGTGAGTACTTTAGGGCTCAAGAGTGAGAAAAGACACATAGTTATTATTCTTCCTAGTTGGGCCTTGAAGGAGATCATAGTGAACTGTGTGATTGGTGAGAATAATATCACAGGAGAACATTCAAAACAAAGCGAGTCACTTCCTGTCCCTTCAGTGGCTTTATACTACTCTTTGCATAGTAACCAAATGCCATCATATAAGTTAGAAGATCCTGTGTTCTTTGGTTGTTTTTAATTCTTTAGTCTCATCTCATACCTCTTGCTGTCTATTCTGAGTTTTGTTTGGGTTTAGTTTCACTATTGTCTGGTGTTTTGTTTTTTTTTTTAGCTCCCCATTTGTACTATATTCTATCTAGTCTCAGAATCTATGGTTATGCTGTTTCTTTACCTAGAATCTATACACACATATTAAACATTATTCTTTCCATGACGTTCATTCAGCAGTCATCTTTAAAATCTCACCATAAATATCACTTACCTGTACATCAGCTCTACCCTAATTTTGTCAGGATGCCTCTGTTATATATGCTTGTATCTCCCTGTACTTTACCTAAATATCACTTACCATAACTTGCAATCATTGTATATATGTTTAGTGAAAGAAACAATGCAAGCTCCATGTGGCATTAGAATGTCTTACCATTTTTTTTATCCCTAGTACTGAACACATAGTAAAGACCAATAAAACATTTTTTTGTCATCTAACTGAATTTAATTTTTTCCTGGGAATTGAATAGGTTTCTTTTTTCCTTTCTTTTTTTTTTTTTTTTTTTGAGATGGGAGGTCTTACCCTGTCACCCAGGCTGGAGTGCAGTGTCGCGTTCGTGGTTCACTGCAGCCTCGACTGGGCTCAGGAGATCCTCCTACCTTAGCCTTAGTCTCCTGGGTCGCTGGGACCACAGGTACATGCCACCACGCCTGACTAATTTTTGTAGAGAGAGAGTCTCCCTATGTTACCCAGGCTGGTCTCAAACTCCTAGGTTCAAGCCGTCTTCCCATCTCAGCCTCTCAAAGTGCTGGAGTTGTAGGTACAAGCCATCACACCCAGCCTGAAAAATTTGTATGAGTCTGTTGAGACTGGTATAAATACGGAGGAAACGTATGTTTATATAAATTGTTTCTACTTTTAAAATATTCTTCGGTTCTCAAAAGTTTTGTTTGTTTGTTAGTTTTTTTTTGAGACAGAGTCTTGCTCTGTCACCCAGGCTGGAGTGCAGTGCTGGATCTCAGCTCACCGCAGCCTCCACCTCCTGGGTTCCAGCAGTTCTCCTCCCTCAGCTTCCTGAGTAGCTGGGATTGCAGGCATGTGCCACAACACCTAGCTAATTTTTTGTATTTTTGGGTAGAGATGAGGTTTCACCATGTTGGCCAGGCTGTTCTCAAAATTCCCAACCTCAAGTGACCTACCCACCTCAGTCTTCCTAGCCACTGTGCCAGGCCATCAAAAGTATTTGTGTCTAGGTCAGTAATTCTTCCCTCCCTCTACCCCCTTCCCCAGCAAATCTTTTGAAAATATGATATGCACGTGTGTGTAATGTTTCCAAGGTTAATGGATACCTTGATCTGGGCCAACTGTTACTAATTATAGTTTTAGTATGACAAGGATATTTTCAAAATCTTTCAGAAGTTCAGTGATAGGTTTGCGTGCAAGGTAACCCAATGGAGGTACAAGAGACGTTAAAACTAGGAGTCAGAAAACTTGGCTTCTTTGAGTGAAACTGTTGGACTTGTCTTGTCTTTGGTCTACTCCATGTCAAATTGGCATAGTTGAAAGTACGTAAGTTTTCCTGTCAAGAAGACCTGAGGTTGAGGTGGTGGTTGTCTTGTTTGCTACTTACCCTTTTATAAACCTGGACAAGTTCTCTGAATGCTATTTTATTTTTTTTGTAAAAATAAGGAATATGATACCAACTTTTTAGTTGTAAAGATTAAATAAAAAGAGGTGTTTGAAAAAACTTAAGACTTGTTACTGGTAGGGACATAAATGAATATTATCTTAAAAAACCAGTGAAACTAAAATTAAACTTTCTCTAAGGTATCTTTTACCAATAATATTTTATAATTTATTTTAAACAGTTTTTGTTACAGCAGAATCATTTAGGAAATTTGTTACAGCGGCATTGACCTGAAATCACGTGGGAGAGCAGGGAAGGATTAAACTGATGTTGGTCATGCTGTCCATAGCCTACAGTGCTGGACATGTAGTGATTCTCAAACACTTGCTGCAATTTTAAGAATATCTCAACAAAGAAAAAAGGAAAGAAAAAACATCTGGTTATGTCCTGAAGCCTGTAGAGCCTGAAAGAAAAAGAAAAGAAGATCCTGTGATGAAAATCTTCTGGTGTTAGGTGATGCAGTTGGAGAGGTCATATCATTTAGGACTTTGTAAATATGAATAAGAAATCTGAATTTCGGCCGGGCACGGTGGCTCAAGCCTGTAATCCCAGCACTTTGGGAGGCCGAGGCGGGTGGATCACGAGGTCAAGAGATCGAGATCATCCTGGTCA